TTCCATCATAGATGGTTTTCTTCTCTGGTCTGGACACCCCCATCTACATTTCTTCCAGTTCCTCTCATTCCAAGATTACTGAGGAAACTGAAACAAGAAAGAGCGTCGTTAATCCTTATTGAACCAGCATGGCCAAGCCAATATTGGTTCATGGATCTACATCGACTGTCTATCCACTCACCAATTACTACTACTACTAGTCACAGAACGTCTAACTCAACACCAGGGCAAATCTCTACATCCAAACCTCAAATCTTTCCACCTTACTGCATGAACACTCAGAAGAAATTGCTGCCGGGAGGTTCAGATCATCTTGGTGAGCATCAGAAAGGAATCCACTAGAGCCAGGTATGCAGCTAAGTGGAAGAGATTTTCCATTTGGGTACAATCCCACAGTTTATTGCCCCATCTCACAGAGGTTACACATGTGCTGGACTATGTTCTGCAGCTGAGATTGATAGATTCTAGGACTGGAAGGGACCTCGAGAGGTCATCGAGTCCAGTCCCCTGCCCGCATGACAGGACCAAATACTGTCTAGACCATCCCTGATAGACATTTATCTAACCTACTCTTAAATATCTCCAGAGATGGAGATTCCACAACCTCCCTAGGCAATTTATTCCAGTGTTTAACCACCCTGACAGTTAGGAACTTTTTCCTAATGTCCAACCTAGACCTCCCTTGCTGCAGTTTAAGCCCATTGCTTCTTGTTCTATTCTTAGAGGCTAAGGTGAACAAGTTTTCTCCCTCCTCCTTATGACACCCTTTTAGATACCTGAAAACTGCTATCACGTCCCCTCTCAGTCTTCTTTTTTCCAAACTAAACAAACCCAATTCTTTCAGCCTTCCTTCATAGGTCATGTTCTCAAGACCTTTAATCATTCTTGTTGCTCTTCTCTGGACCCTCTCCAATTTCTCCACATCTTTCTTGAAATGCAGTGCCCAGAACTGGACACAATACTCCAGCTGAGGCCTAACCAGCGCAGAGTAGAGCGGAAGAATGACTTCTCGTGTCTTGCTCACAACACACCTGTTAATACATCCCAGACTCACGTTTGCTTTTTTTGCAACAGCATCACACTGACTCATATTTAGCTTGTGGTCCACTATAACCCCTAGATCCCTTTCTGCCGTACTCCTTCCTAGACAGTCTCTTCCCATTCTGTATGTGTGAAACTGATTTTTCCTTCCTAAGTGGAGCACTTTGCATTTGTCTTTGTTAAATCATCAGGCCTTTCAAATAATTTTGTGATAGTTCACCTAGCCTCTATTTCTGCATTATATCCACCAGTAGATGTTTTTTCCATCATCTTTCATCCCCTCATTTCTTGGTTTTTGAAAGGCCTAATCAACTTTTACCCTCCCTTGTCTGCTTCTGTACCAGTATGGTATTTAGATCTAGTTCTCTCCAAATCTATGGCCCCTGTTTGAGAGCCTATGACTACAACTTCATTACATTCATTGTCAATGAAGATGGTGTTTTTGCTAGATATAAATTCTGCAAGGAGGGTTTCAGAACTTCACCCTTTCTTGGATGATCCTCCTTTCACAGTCTTTCATAAGGACAAGGTATCGGTTAAGTTTATATCCAAGTTTCTGCCTTCCATCTAAGCCAAATGATTACTTTTTGGTGATTCTTCCCCCCCCCCTCCCCCCCCGCAAAAAAAACCAACCAAACCTCCATTCATCTGAGGCTGAAGACGCACTCCATGCTTCGGATGTTCATAGAGCCCATTGCATTTTACTTGGATCACACTAGATCCTTCAGGTCTTCCCCCCCTCCCCCCCCAGAATCTTTGTAAACTATACTGAAATAATTAAAGGTCAATCAGTATCATCTCAATGCATCTCACATTTGGTTTTTGTCTGTTTACGATTTTTTTACAATCTTGCTAAAGTCTCTTCTCTATCAAGAATAGCAACTTACTCCACCTCATCAGCTTTCCTGAGCAATGTTCCAATAACTAATATGTATGCATATTGTACATGTGATCATCTGCATGTACTTTCCACTCTTTATGCCATCACTCATCCCTCTCACGATGAAGTCAGCTTTGGCAAATCGGGTATTACAGTCTCTGTTTGGATGAGCCAAAGTTCCTGGTCCTATAAGGGAACTGCTGATGCATCACCTACAGTGGAATTTATATGTGCACAATCACTCAAAGAACAAGTTACTGTAAGGTAAGTAATTTTTTTCTTCATGTGTGCTGGTATTTCTTCAAACATATGGGGTCTTAAAATTGTAGAGTGGGGACCCTCCTTATAGATTCTGAGGATCTCCCCCTGCAACATTACTTGTCTCCTCTTCCCCACAAAACTCCTTAAAAAAAGGCAGTTCTGAACAATCATTGGGAACAATCCTCCTCCCCCACTCCCTGCTTGCTGTCACTGTATCAGGCACACCGTCTCCCCTCTGAGCATCCTCTTCCCACCCCCATGATAACACCTGTGAGTAGTTGAGCTCAGAGATGTGACACTCTGTGGAAAGGAACCCCAGGGCACAGAGCTCTGTCTGCTTCACCAACCAGACAGAGAACCCTCTTGCCCCCAGGCTGGGAACCGGTCACTCTGATTCCTGTGCAGCCCCAGGGAGATAAGTGGAGGTGGGCATGTTGCGGCGAGGAAGATAGTGGCAGCACCCTAGCTGATGGCGGGACTGTGTCTCAGGAACTAGGATCTGCTCTCTCTTGGCTCCTAGCCCCTAAATCCCACCTCTGAGACAGGAAAGATGATGATTTTGCGATCTGAGAGTATTGAAAAAACTGCTGCAAGCCTTTGCTACCCTGGAGTTTTGGAATTCACACTGATGAAGCCCCTTATGTCAAGCATAACTGCACAAATCACCAATAGTTTGTTCCATAAACAATTTTTTTTCTATTTGTTGATTTCTGTCCTCCAATATTAACCCTGATATTAACTTCACAGTTTTCCAGGTAAATTTTTGCACTGATTTTTCACCCTTTTTAAATGTTTGAAATAAATACTGATACATTTCCTGGAAACTTTAGAAAAAATATAAACCAGAAACGCAGGTCCTTACATATGGTGAAAAGACATGAATTCGTCTAGACTAATTATGCTGCAAATACCCATTTTGAGAAGACAAACCTAAAAGGTAAACTTCATGTCCCAAATGTTGGAGCCTGATAATAGTGGAAAAATCAGACATCCTTGCTAGTACTTTGAGCTCTAACAGTAGCCCAATACATTTAAAATATACAGAAGTCTTCAGTGTTATTGAGCATGAGGTGCTGCTAACTCAAATGGTGAGACCTCCAACTAAATATGGACAAGATGGAGATGATGCTGGTTTGAAAAATGAAGTATTTTGAAAACATGGCTGTGATCATGGCATCTAAATTGTCTAGACTTAAGCTCCAGCGACCTCAGAGACTGCTTTTCCCTCTATGCTCTGCCACAGTCTCCTCTCTGCAGAGATGTTTAAACTATCACATGAGTTCCCAACAAGCCATTATCCTCATGGCTGTCCTCAGCTCTGTATCTTTCCCTGGAAATCTGCAATAGCCCAAATCTAGCAACCTCTCATAGTAGATGTAAGACGCAACTGTTTCATAGATGGGCGTAGGGCCAGAACTTCAAGGAACACAATTTTCTGGATGACAATTCTCTCCCTTTAAAAATGGCATCTCTTTGAAAGCTGGTGTAATATTTGCTGCATCCTAGTGAAGTTTGTGGGCAGAAAATATAGGCAAGAAAGGCAAAAGGTGTAAAATAAATGCAATTATATTTTTGCACAAGTTCATAGATTTGTTCCATCATTGTCATGGAAACCCAGGTAGATTTTGGTTATAGTGGTGGTGTAAAATCTCAAGGTTATGTACCTACACACCTAGGATATCTCATTACACTTTTTAAACTACTAATTACTGTTCATCTTCACATATAGCTAAAACTTTGATCGAGAGACTTGAACACCTAGTCTCCTGCCAAAATGGTCAATCTAAACATTTTTCTACATTTCCTTAAATTTTGGCCCAAAAATGAAATAAAACCTTTAATGTGGCTACTCAATGGTAGTTCTGTTATAACTGCTGATCCTGTGACAAAAAGAGCCAATACAACTGCCTTTTTGCTGACAGAACAATATACACAGGTGGTTTGTGCTCAAACCATTGTACTTTTCTGTGGAGAAGGCAGATCCAAGCCCCTATTGCATCTTTCTCTTACTAAACAGAATTTTTGTATGTGAATACCAGTATGTCTGCATCAGGCAATACATTGATTTTAAAGAATTATAGTGCATTTTAAAATTTTCACTAGATTTTAATGCTCTTATTTCTTTCACTGGAAAATAAACTTATTGAGAAAATTTACAGGTCATGAAGTTTCAAGATAAAGAAACCATAAGACTATCAATAGCTCAACCAAAATGGCATGGTTGTGAAATAGGGCTTTGTTACGGACCTATGCTGTTAGGGCAACCATATTTCCTGCAATCAACTTAGCTTCACTCCCATTTTCTGCTAAGGGGACTTTTAGCTTCACTCCTATTGAGAGCAATGGAAGATAGTGGCCATTTTGAAAGAGGATAGATCTTCATGGAATTCTTTGTATTAGAACATTATTTGTGTGTACCTGCTGAAGAAGACACTTTCAATAATGGAGAATAACAGTAAAAAAAAATTAATCCTTTAAAAAAATGTAACCAGTGCATGAGAGTTCATTGCGTTTTAACTGATATAGAAGTTTTAATAGTCTGCATTATTAAGATAATTCAAGGCCAAAAAAAAGGTTTGATATGGTGCTAAATTTCTTAAAGGATCCATTTAAAAATTAATTTTAACTCATAAACTAACCAATTTTCTTGTAAATTCTGAGAAAATGTATTCTATACTCGAAGAGTAAGAGCTGTAATTTTTGGGATGATACTCAGTATTCTTCATATATAACAAACTGGTTGAATCCTGCTTTAAGTGCAAAATTCATCTCACCCTAAATGAACTGCAACCCTTCTATCTTTGTCTTTCTTTTCTAGTTATTGAGCCGAAAAGACAAAACTACCTTTGAAAAGTTGGAGTATGTTATGAGTAAAGAAGATAATTACAAACGACTTAGAGACTATATTAACAGCTTGAAGATGACTCCTTGTATTCCTTATTTAGGTAGGTAAGCTTAATATGTTTGGTGTGCAGTGTTAAGGCAATAGTACTTGCACAGTGACTTGCAGAAAAACTAAAAGCCATCTTTTAAGCTGTATTTGAGAGTATATTACTGCTTTTACAAAGAATGTAGAAGCACTTGGTTGGCTGTAAATGTTCTGTATATAGCACAGGGGCGGGCAAACTTTTTGGCCTGAGGGCCGCATCGGGTTTCAGAAATTGTATGGAGGGCCAGTTAGGGGAGGCTGTGCCTCCCCAAACAGCCAGGTGTGGCTCGGACCCCGCCCCCTAGCCGACCTACCTGCCTCTCGCCCCCTGACGCGCCCCCCCCCCCCCCGGGACTCCTGCCCCATCCATCGCTCCAGCTGTCTGTCCCCTGACCGCCCCTAGACTCCCTGCCCCCTGCCGTCCCATCCCAACCCCGCCGTCCCATCCCAACCCCCCCTCCTTCCTGACTGCCCTCTGGGACCCCTGCCCCATCCAACAAACTCTTTCCCTAACTGCTCCCCACAGCTCCCCCCACCCCATCCAACCCCCCCTTTCTTTCCTGACTGCCCCCCCCCCGGGATCCTTACCCT